GAGGGTGTCTTTCCTGCCACCTTGAAAGAGGCGGTGGTGAGGCCTCTCCTCAAGAAGCCTTCCCTGGACCCGGCAATGTTGGTAAATTATCGTCCGGTCTCCAACCTTCGTTTTGTGGCAAAGGTTGTTGAGAGTGTGGTTGCGTAACAGCTTCCCCAGCACCTGGATGAAACGACGTATCTGGATCCATTCCAGTCGGGCTTCAGGCCCGGGTACAGCACGGAAACGGCATTGGTTGCGTTGGTTGATGATCTCTGGAGGGCTCGGGACAGGGGGTGCTCCTCTGTCCTGGTCCTGTTAGATCTCTCAGCAGCTTTTGATACCATCGACCATGGTATCATGCTGCACCGGTTGGAAGAGTTAGGGGTGGGAGGCACTGTGTTGCGGTGGTTCTCCTCCTTTCTCTCTGATCGGTCGCAGTCTGTGTTGACAGGGGGACAGAGGTCGACCCCGAGGCCCCTCATATGTGGGGTGCCGCAAGGGTCGGTCCTCTCACCTCTCCTGTTCAACATTTATGTGAAGCCGCTGGGCGAGATCATCCGTGGTTTTGGGGTGGAGTACCATCAGTACGCTGATGACACCCAGCTGTACATCTCCACCCCGGATCACCCCAACGATGCCCTTGAAGTGATGTCCCGGTGCCTGGAGGCCGTACGGATCTGGATGGGGAGGAACAGGCTCAGGCTCAACCCATCCAAGACCGAGTGGCTGTGGTTTCCGACGTCCCGATATAGCCAGTTGACGCCATCACTGACTATTGGGGGCGAATCATTGGCTCCCACAGAGAGGGCTCGCAACTTGGGCATCCTCCTGGATTCACGGCTGTCTTTAGAAGAGCACTTGACGGCCGTGACCGGGAGGATTTTTTATCAGGTCCGCCTGATTCGCCAGTTGCGTCCCTTTCTGGATCGGGACTCGTTACGCACGGTCACTCATGCCCTCGTCACCTCCCGCCTGGACTATTGTAATGCTCTCTACATGGGGCTCCCCTTGAGGAGCACCCGGAGGCTCCAACTGGCGCAGAGTGCGGCCGCGCGGGTGGTAATGGGAGCGACATGGCGCTCCCATGTAACACCTCTCCTGCGCGAGCTGCACTGGCTCCCGGTGGTCTTCCGGGTGCGCTTCAAGGTTTTGGTTACCACCTTTAAAGCGCTCCATGGCTTAGGGCCTGGTTATTTACGGGACCGCCTACTACCACCAATAGCCTCCCACCGGCCAGTACGCTCTCATAGAGAGGGACTCCTCCGGGTGCCATCAGCCAAACAGTGTCGACTGGCGGCCCCTAGGGGGAGAGCCTTCTCTGTGGGGGCACCTACCATCTGGAATGAGCTCCCCCCGGAGATACGGAGGATCCCGGATCTGCGCTCCTTCCGCCGTGCTGTGAAGACCTTTTTATTCCATCAAGCGGGCTTGGCCTGATCTCTTCCCTTTTTAAATATGTAAATTTTAATCTGTTTTTAAATTATTGGGGTATTTTAATTTGTCTGGGCCAAAAAGTTTAATTTGATTTTATGGGGTTTTTAAATTTTGTGTATTTATGTATTTTATTGTTGGCTGTTCACCGCCCTGAGTCCTTCGGGAGTAGGGCGGTATACAAATCAAATAAATAAAATAAAATAAAAAAAATAAATATTTATAAATAAAAAGGGGGTTAAAATCCATCAAAGCTATGACCTCAGTGCTAGACAGTTAAATGACAGAAACTTCCAAACAGTAAAAAAAGAAAAGAAAAGAAAAAGAAAGTATACTATATATAGCATGAAATTCACAATATAATCAAGATTAATTAAGTGTAAGGCTGCCTAAGCAGCTTTAGTCTAGGCCACTTGACTAGATGGATGTTTATCTTGAACACAGTTATGAAAACTAGGCCATTAGGAAACAGATAGTTGAAAAAGAGCCTTAGAAAACATCTAAGCTGGAACAGAATAACAACCCACCAAAAATATTCTTGACATGTAAAACTTTATTATCATATTTACAAGTATATTTAGTATTTAAAATAATTGACTGGAACATAATTTTCATGAGCAAGGTTTTTTAAATTCCATGCCAGCGATCTTCGCATTTGTTTCCCAGTTTCTGAGGATGGCACAACTGAGTTGGAGTATTTTCTTTTCCAAAAATGAAATGAATTTGTCTAGTGGTACAGTATTTACAACTCTATTTTTCAAGTTTGCCTCAAAAAATAATAATACTCAAAATTATGTTGCAAGGGAACTGATGTCTTAGAGAAACAGCTAGCAAGCCACAACTTTTCGGTGACTGATACACAGGAAAAAGAGATTGAAAAATGAGGACTATGAATATGCCGTGCTGGTTACAAAATTTAAAGAAGATGCAACAGAAACGAACATGGTTCATCTTCCATGAACTGGTACCTCAAAAGGGACAAAATCAAGGTGGGCCCTAGAGAAAGACTTGTTTATTGAATGCATAATTAATGTGGATGTTATTTTTCAGTACAGTGCTACCATCTCAAATGGCCCATTTGAAAGATTCTATGTCAATAAGGCTGACTGTAGCACAAGCAAGGTACTAAGGAAGACATGGGCACACATAAAAGCAACCTGGTGATTCCGCTATATACTAGAATTCAATCCATAATCATTAAACCTACATTTCAAATCACAAACAATAAATACATTTTGTCCTATATATAACTAATAGTAATATAGCCACCGCCATCTTCAGCGTTCTGTTTTGCTTTCAGGTTTATATAAGGTCATCAGGTGTTGGTTACAGAAGGACAAATGAAAGGCAAATATTGAGAGATGCACCATTGTTTGCATATAATTTGAAATGTTTATATTTTAAATTGGCACATATAGAAACATAGTATTTGAAATATTTCTTTTTTTTAAAAAAAAAATCATTTTATTCATAATGTTACAATACAAATTTCAAAAAAAAACCAGGATAAAATTACAAGAACAAAGCAAAAATAAACAAGAAAGACATTAAAAAATTGTGCATAGAAATGGGGAGATTATAAATTCTTGTCCTGCCTTAGGCACAACACCAGCTGAATGACCTTGGGCCAGTCATTCTCTCAGCCCTAGGAAGAAGGAAATGGCAAGCCATTTTTGAAAATATTGCCTAGAAAATTGCAGAGACTTGTCCAGGGAGCCATCAGAAATTAAGACCAATTTGAAGCCACAAATATAAATCTATAGAATGCTAAAACTCTCATTATTGTGACCTTGCACTGGATAAAACAATGCATTATAGGGCAACAATTTTTGAAATAAGGTGCTTCAAATGGACTAACTAAGTTGTGGCTGCTATAGTGTTATTAACTGCTGTTACATAACTGCTGCAGCCACAATTCCTTGCTCTCTCTCCTACCTAGCAGTAGCCATTTATCTGCTGCTGGGAAGGGAAGGGAAGGGAAGGGGAGATCTTCAATGCTTCCTGCCAGATTCCTATAAGGAAACTAAATGGGAAAGGCTGCAGGAAGTCAGAAGTCACTCCTACTCTCACAGCTTTTTTGCTCACCCTTGGTCAATCTGTTTCCCTGTTTAGATAAAGAAATACTTCTGAAACAATGAGCCAATGGGGCACAGCTTACCTAGCATATTATAGCATTTTCTACACCTGTATGGAATCGGTCACTCTGTTTAATCTGAAAAGTCCAACATTTTATATAGATAATTTCCTTTTTCAAACAGAAATAATAGGATTCTATTGCATTTTGTGAACAATAAAGTTGCTTGATTTATGACCCCAATAGATCCAGGAATTTTCATTATAAGTCATGGTTGTTACAAATCAAGACACCCAGATGATCAGATCCAATTTTACAACTTTTTTGTGCTGGTCGTTAAGTTAACACTGTGGTTGTTAAGTGAATCAATACATTCCTATAAGAGTTTTTTGAGAGAAACCATTAAAAAAATCTGGAAAAAACAAATCCTAAAACATGGTCATGTGATCACTGAATGCTGCAAATAGCCATAAAGGTTAGCCAATTGCCAAGCACTCAAAATGCAGTCCTGTGACTGTGGGAGGATTTTTTTGGAACTCTGGAACAGAGTTATTAGTAGTTTTGGGTGGGGTCTATTGTAACTTTGGTTGCTAAGCAATTGGTTGTAAGTCGAGGACTACCTGTACTGATGGAAAACCCATACACCAACATTTTTTAAACAAATTCCAAGTAGCTCTAATTTAATAAGTTTGTCAGACATTGCAGTTTATTGTTTCATCTCTTGTAGTTTTGGTCCCACATCTGCAAATTGTGAAGGTTTTCATTTTGTGGTTTTGCAAGATCAGTATTGCAATATTTTAAAGGCACAATCAAAATATAGTCTCATAAATTATTTTTATTTGGTATAAATATTTGCATGATCTCATCATTCAGAAAGAGTTCTCATTCATCTAGGCAACTAGGATCAAGATGGCCCATCTCTGACAATTTGCTACTTGAATAAACATTTTCAAAATTTTTCTATAAAGAACAGGCATGTATGTGAGATGGGTAGATACCAGTGGTGGGTTGCTCCCGGTTCGGACCAGTTCTATAGAACCAGTAGTAAAACCAGAAGGAGGCTCCGCCCACCAACCCCGACGTCATCAGAACACTTCTGCGTATGCGCAGAAGAGCGTGGCCCCATTGTGAACCGGTAGTAAAGGTGAGTAGAACCCACTCCTGGTAGATACATGAAACAAATAAACAAGCATGTAATATCTGAGTATGATTCAGTTTTATGGAAGGGAGAAGAATGGAAGTATAATGAAGATAAAGGAAGGGAAGTAGGAAACTAATTATCCCATGGTAGCAAAGCGATATTATTGGTCTCAATAAATCCTATTTTATTTGTATTTTAGAGTGATTTGAAAAAGTTTTGTTTATGAAATAACTCTGTTCAGTCAAAAAATAGTTTGGATTTTATATATTCTAGCAGAACACGCAACAACTCTGATTCATTGTGCTCTTTACAGAATCTGCACACTGAAACTGAGAAACCTACTACTTCTAATAGTTTAATAAAACAACTTACCATCATAAGTAAAGAAAAGACCTGGTAGTCAGGGAATGAATGTTTGTAGAATTTCACTGCCAAGTTAAGTACTGCATCATTTTTGCATGAAGCCGTCCAAGTATTTAAGACTGAGAATGAAGAAACAAAAACTGGGGGTCATCAGGATCAGAGGAGTCATTTTCTTTGAATCATTTTCTTTCTTTTCTTGGCACACCTAAATAAAAAAAGAAGCATACAGATTTCAATTGTATGACAGATCTAATTATTAAATCCATAACAATGCAATAAATGTAATGTTTGGCCTTTTTTTTTTTTTTTACTTTCACAGCTGTAATCAACATTACTGATGAACTTGATTAACAAATTCATTTGAATCACAGATCTCTGATGCCTAAAGGATACCACATTTAGAAGAAATTGAAATAATTCCTCTTTATCATTCAGAACTGTAAAGAAGTTCTGTATCAATATTGAAGGGAGAAGTCTGAGAAGTCAATTGTTCATTAGATATCTAAATGCAAAAGTATACAGTAAATGAAAAATGGGATAGAAATATCAAAACCGAAAGTAGTTTTAACAATAATGATGCTACCTCACTGCTTTTTGTTTATGTTCTCCCCAATATAGCATTTGCCTTTTTATCAGCTACATCACTCTACTTGCTTATGTTTAACTTGTGGCTGAAAAGACATTTTCATCCTTTTCACTTTTATACTCCCACATGAGGCCTCTCTAACCTATACATATGCCGTTCATTTTTATTATCCAAATTCCAGAGATTCCCCCACCCCTAATAAATCTGATCCTGTTCGTTCAATCCAATGTCTATGATTAGTTATTTTATTACTTTTTTTTAACAGCAGTGCCGTGTTCCTCTGCAGATTTGATAATCACCCTCTTCAACCATGTAATTAATACAGTTGATCCACGTAATGATAAGTTTCCAATCTGGTTTGGAGCCAGTTATGAATACCGTACTTTCTGAATATGATAATTTAGCCAATTATGAAGTCATTTTAATAGTTGTATAATCTAGCCCATATTTCACTATTTTAGTAACGACAATATATTAAGAGACTGTTGAAAGCTTTGGTGAGGTCAAGGTATAGTAAATCCAAAGCAGTTCCCCCTTCCCCATCTTTTAAAAATAATCTAGCATTACTTATTTTGACATATCCATCTTGACTCATATTAACTATTGTGTTCCTTTCCAAATGTTCAAAAATTAGCCATTTAATACTCTGTTTTAGACCCAGTTTAGTGTAGTGGTTAAGGCATCAAACTAGAAACCAGAAGAAACTTGAATTCTAGTCCCATCAAAGGCACAAAGCCAACCTGGTGAACTTGGGAAAGCCACTTCTGAAATCTTGTGAAGAAAATTACAATGACTTGTCCAGACAAAAAATCTACATTGACTCAAAGGCACAATAATAATATCATCATCATTCAAATACAATAGATGGTGATTTTATGTTTTGTTTTTGTTTTAAATAAAAGAAAATTCAAAAAAAATAATATCATCATCATCATCATCATGTTTTGAAGACTTTGATTTTGTCATCTATAATTTCTCAGATGTTTCTTCACCTTTTTGAAGGTAGGGAAATTGTTTACTTTTCTCCAGTTTTCTGGGACAACCTCCTAGTTGTCCAAGAGGACTCAAACACTACTGAGCATGGTTCGGCAATCATTTCGCCTAGTTTCTTCAATACTCTAGAGCAATGTTTGACACTGAGGTGCTACAGACTTTCGGAAGATATTGATATGACTACAATTTTTACTGGAGTATTTAGATTCCATTTCTGCTGTGTGCTGACCTGAATTATATGATAAAATTCAATATTTGCATAGAGAATAATGAATATGCAAAATATGCAATTTCAAGTTGATAATTACAATTTAATCAATTTAATCTAATTCCATTGTGAAGCAGGAGTTATTTAAACATAATACTGGTAGAAGAGTTTTTGCATAGTTTCTCAGCATGTATTTCATAAAAACATCCTACTCAGATTTTGATAGAAGAATTTTGCTTTCATCTGTAGGTACTGAGATTTGATTTAAATATTGAATTGATTTGAAAATACTTGTTTGGGTTGCAAATCTATTCATTTGCACAATGGGAGACCAATTATTTAATCTCCGAGAAGAAATAATTGAGCTTCAGAATGATGAAGAATCAAGGCAAATCTTCTACAGCAGAAGACATCAAACTATGTGGGTGCAATGTGAAATTTCCACTCCATGGGGGAAAGCAAAGCTTCTTTATATTTATTTTTCATCTTCTTATATCTTTGAATAAGTATTAGTTCAGTAAATTCCATACTAATGAAACATCAAAGTCATTTGGATATTGTTATTTTAGTGATTTAGGAATGCTACTATCCAGGTTTCCTCCAGATATTATGAAGTTAAGTGAAAACTACCAAGCTCAAGGATCACACTAGCATCTTATAATAGATCTCATTTTATTTACTTTACTAAATCTGTGTATGTTAATGAAGCATGCTAATAGAATGTAATCTAAATGCAATTAAAAAGGCATGATAAAAGTAATTAGTACAATCATTAAAAAATCTTGTCAAATATTATTCATATTTTACATGCAGGAAGCACTAGCAGGTAGATAGTGTGCAATGGCATAGTAGTTTATATAGAAGCACTGGGTTGAAAAGTTTAGATGATAGTTTCCTAGGATCTAATTCATCTGACCCCAGATACTTGAATTTATCCAAGTTAGCTATGTTCTTTCTTACTCTTTCCTTGTTCTTTTAAGCCTACAATTTCCCTTCTCTCCTAATGGCATAATGATAGCTTTTTCATTCCATAAATTAACTTGTCAAAAATAATTTCACAGAATATTTAGAGAACATTATGACAAAAAGTTCAGTTTGGTTTCTGACCCTATTCATTTTTTTCCCTTTTAGTTACGGTGTTCATTATTCAATATGTTATAACAGATCTAAATCATATATCTCAATAAAATTCAAACTGCTAAGAAATAGACATATGTTCTCAATATATGTTCACATCTTTTTGCATTCTTCCATTAATGTTCTCCAGCTTATGCAATTAAACATAAGCAAATAACATCTTTGAAACTTCACGCTTCAATGGACTTTTACATAAAACAGAAAAACAAATCTAAAATAAACCACTGGAATATATATTTTTAGGTATTAGTTAAATGTACTATTAACATTTTCATCAAAATATTTTCCAAGAAAGGTATCTCATTAAAACTACATTTTGCCGCAAACAATGTTTGATTCTGAATAGATGTGACTGCCTATGATCATACAATTGATTGTAGACCCTTTAGATCTATCTCAATGTCAGCCACATCCCAGTATTACCTGAGACAGATTTTGCTCTAATTGTTCTAAAGAGATTTTTCATTTGATAGAATTGTTCAGATATAAATATCTCCATCTGAACTAAAATCTATTTTCTTTAGAAGGAAATGATGGATAAAAACAGGATGGATTTTATATCACACAACATTACTGACTTTACATCAATGTATACTAGGTTTTGTTGATCTAAAATAAACCTCTCTATGCTCTCTATGTTCATTGGTTATCTATTTTTTGCACATTGATCAGTTAATGGCATTCACTGAGGAATCCCAGGCAAGAAAAAACAAATACAGAGGCTATATTATACAGTACACAGATTTTCCACTCTGGTAGTAGAGCAGTATGACTGTTTCAAACTCCTTTTCTAAAACAAGTGCCTAAAAATGGTTGATGTTCTTTGAGGCTTCCAATTATTTTTTAAGATCAAGTTCTAAAGTTCCCACGTGACACCCCTCCTGCGCGAGCTGCACTGGCTCCCAGTGGTCTTCCGGGTGCGATTCAAGGTGTTGGTCACCACCTTTAAAGCGCTCCATAGCATAGGACCTGGGTACCTTCGAGACCAACTTCTGCCATCAATAGCCTCCCACCGGCCAGTTCGCTCCCACAGAGAGGGTCTCCTCAGGGTGCCATCGGCCAAGTTATGTCAGCTGATGACAGTCAGGGGGAGGGCCTTCTCTGTGGGAGCCCCAGCCCTGTGGAATGAACTGCCCCCGGAAGTGCGTAAGATCTCCAACCTCCGGGTATTTCGCTGTACACTCAAGACCCTGTTGTTCTGCCAGACCGGGCTATCAACATAATAATTTTAAATTGGTGTTTTAAATTTCTGGGGTTTTAAATTGAGCTGAATTATTTAATAATTTTAAATTATTTTAATTGATGTTTGCCTTGTGCTTTTAATAGGCTGTACACCGCCCTGAGTCCTTTGGGAGAAGGGCGGTATAGAAATAAAATTATTCTTATTCTTATTCTTATTCTTAAAAGTATTGCATTGTTTAACATAAGTTACTTTGCGCTCTCTCTCTCTCTCTCTCTCTCTCTCTCTCTCTCCCCCCCTCCCTCTCCCTCCCTCCCTCCCCCCTCTCAAATGCAGCCCTGGGTTTCTTCTGCTTTTAGTGTGGGGAATGTCTAATTAAGATCCAGTTACCTTACTTCTTATATTGCTATTAATATTAACCAGTCCTCTTCCATTTTCAAACAACAAAATCTCCAAATAGAGCAGCAGCGGCATTTCCTTTTTAGTGCAGTACATGTTAGAAACCCTCAAACACTGAAGACATTTTTATTAGAGAGTAAGCCCCACTGAACATACCAGTTCTTAATTTGTAAGCACTTATACAATTGTAGGTAAAGCATACTGCAGCATATTATTATTTCACATTAGGCTTATTTTTAACCATTCAAATCGTATTTTGAATTAGTTCATAACAATTTCACAGTAAGCAAACAGAGCAGACCCTTCAGCAATGTGTACTTTTGTCTCTGTGTTGTGAAATCAAGCTGCTATGGAACAAGGGAGTTAAAATAACAAGTCAGTTTTCAGCTATGAAATGTTGGAATATATGGTTTATCACTGTTATTATTCAATCAATTTATTTTCTGCCTTTTTTGCCCCAAAAGCATTGAGATTGGTTAGTAATTCAGATAAATGTATTGTCTCAGTAACTGAATCCTAGTTCAGCAGTATATCTGAATCCTGTGTAGCAATATATTTGGTTATAACATTTATTATGGGTTTTACCCAAAAAGAAGAGGAATCTGATTTTAAGAAGAATCCAAACATCAATTCAGAAAAAAAAGAACTTGGACAGGACAGTCCTTTTTAGGCTAACAATATCAAATCCAACTCAAGCCAGTC